ATATCAAGTTTTGTATTTTTTCTACCGTCCTGGCCCCCGGGCTAGTTAATGAGGAAAGCATGGAGTGGAGCAGCCACACAGTCTTTTTTTACCTCCTCTTCGTAGTTTCTCTCCTCGTCATTTATGTCCTTTTTCCTTTTGTCCAGTAGGTGGTTGTTTTTTGTTGTGTGAATACTCAGTAAAGAGTTTTTAATTGCATTTTACTGTGCCATGGATTTATTCAAGCACTTTATTCATATGGATTATGGTTTTTTTTTGGTGAGCGTCGTTACAACGGCTTCACAGTTGGACCAAACAAGTAGTGTGTGTATGTGTGTCATATTGCATTTGTTTTTTAGTTTAAGTGTGAGACTATGTGGGTGTGTTTGAGTGTCCGTGTGTGTATGTTTGTCCCTTTTCAAATAAATTCATGTCCATTGAATAATTGATTATAAGAATTGATATCTTGTAGTGTTTTTCATTTGTGGCCAAATTGTGCATCCAATGTGTTGGTGGTGGTTTTTTTTGTCTTGAATGAAATCATGTTGAACCTATTGTTAGCTTTACTGCACCTGCATTTCTCCTACGGGAACAATCAAGTATTCCTTCTAATCCACATATCTATCCACCCCACCCAACCTCTGTTATCTATACTCTCTCTATATTTACCGTAGAAGTCCTTTAGTCCCAGTGCATCTTTAAAGCCGTTGTGGCTATTGCTGGCCTCCCGTCTCTCCTCCCATTACTGCCTCCTCATCTGTCGTACTCACTCTATGTTCAACTAATAACATTTCATCTCATTACACAAACTCACTCAGCGAAAACATCCCCGTCCTAATAAATAAGCGGCGGCCCTTAGTCTGCAGTGAGCGGCAGCAGCGAAACGAGGAAAGGAAGTAACCTGGTGAACGCTATTGGCCTTTGCTTTGGAACGCTACCCGTCTCCGCTGGTCTCAAATGCGGGACCTTTAGCACAAACACAGAAACAGCGGAACGGAAAGCAACACAGAGCCTCCACATTCAGAGGACACTGGAGTCTGGACTTATTTACTTTTATGGACTTGTTAAAGATTTATCACGATCTCTGATTGTTATCAGGTCTCTCTATGGCCCTCCTCAAGTAAACATCTGAGGACATGTTAGAGCCATATGGACCAACTGTGAGGAGCACAGGGATGGTTCTACAAAATGGATGGGGACTCTGAGGAGCACAGGGATGGCCTCCCTGCTGGGAACTCTGAGGAGCTCTAGGGACTGGCCTCCTGCTGGACTCTGGCAGGAGCACAGGGACTGGCCTTCCTGTTGGGACACCATGAGGAGCACAGGGACTGGACTCCTGCTGGAGACTCTGGAGGAGCACAGGGACTGGCCTCCTGCTTGGGACTTGAGGAAGCAAGGGACTGGTCTCTGCTGGACTCTGAGCGAGCACAGGGACTGGCCTCCTGTGGGCCTCTGAGGAAGCACAGGGACTGGCCTCCTGCTGGTCCCAGAGTCAGGACTTCCCTATCACATGGGGGAGGCATCGGATTTCCGATTCGTGCTGCTAAAATCTAGAACAGTCTTCCTGTGAAGAATGTGAAACAGGCTTCTTTGCTGACATTGTATTGGACCAATTTTCAAGCCATGTTTGATTTGATTATGGATATTGGTTGTTTTTTCAGTCTAGAATCACTGTCCCTGTGGGAAAATGTCTGACTTATTGAAACCACAAATATTAAGTTGAAAAAATATGACCTTGGTAATGACCTCTGGCAGACAAGTTTTAAGTCAAAATATAAAGTAAAAAAAATTGTGTCGTCTGTGGTTTCCTCGGTTCCTCTGCAGAAGTCTCGGTGAAGCCTTAATTGGCCTTATGGAGACCGAGCTCTAAACCAGCATCCAGCACCTGGGGCCCCGGCGTTAGTTCCCGCACACGATGAAATGTGGTCGCCGTCACTTTCTGCCATGACCGTGATGAAAGTTGTCACACTCAGCTCGCGAAGGACGAGAAGAGAGAGAAGGAGTTATCTAGAGAGGGCGAGGGAGAGAAGCAGCAGAGAGAAGAGACAGAGATGGAAGACCCCCCCCCCCCGAGGGGAAAGGAGGGAGCCAGACAGAGAACGCGAGAGAGGAGGATAGAGAGAAGGAGAGAGAGACAGACGCGAGGAGGGAAAAGAAGGAGTTATCTGGAAGAGAGCCGAGGGAAAGCAGCAGAGGAGTAAGAGAAGAGAAGAGAAGATGCAGAGGGAAGGAGGTAGGGATCAGAGAAGGAGGAGAGAGAAGGAGAGAGACGGTGAGGAGAAGGATGAGAGGAGGAGAGATGAAGGAGAGAGACAGAGAGAGGAGAGATAAAAGGAAAGTATCAGGAGAGGCGAGGGAGGAAAAGATCTGAGAGGCGATACAGAGAGATGCAGAGGGAAGAGGAGGGGAGGACAGACAGAGAAGGAGAGAGAAGGAGGAGAGCGAAGGAGGAGGAGAAGGAGGAGAGAAGGAGAGAGACAGAGAGAGGAGGGAAAGGAAGGAGTTATCTGGAGAGAGGCGGAATGAGGGGGGAGAAGGGGGGGGAAGGGGGAAAAGGGGGAGGGGGGGAGAAGAAGGCAAGGGAGGAGAGGGAGAAATGGGGAAAAGAGCAGAGAGAGAGATAGATGCTTAGAGGGGGAAGACGGGGAGACAGAGAGAGGAGAAGGAGAGAGAAGGAGAGGAAAGTAGAGAGGAGGAGGGAGAGAAGGAGTATCTGGAGAGCCGAGGGGAAAGAGCAAGAGAAGGAGGAGAGAGAAGGAGCAGAGAGACAGGACGAGAAGGAGGAGAGAGGGAGGAGGAGGGAGGAGGAGAGACGGAGCGACAGAGAGAGAAGGAGAGAGATGGAGGTTAGGAAGGAAGCCGAAGGGAGTAGGGAGGGAGAAGGAGGGGGAGACAGAAGAAGGAGAGAGAAGGGGAGTTATCTGGAGAGGTGAGGAGAACAAGAGCAGAGAAGGAGGGTACGAAGAGACAAAGGGGCGTGAGTTGGAGAAACAGAGCGTGAGAGGAGAGAGAGAGGGAGAGAGAGAGACGATGGACCAGCAACAAGATGGTGGACTGTGTGAGACAGAGCCGGAGGTGAACAGTTGGAGGTCAGAATAATTGAACGTGTGGAAATACAAAAGGTACAGTGCCTCTATAATGTCCCTGTAGGAGGAGGAGGGGAATTTTGACCATTCTTCCATGGACAACTGGAACTGGCGGCTTTAAAACACCACAAAATATTCAATATGGTGGATATGTAATAGTGGCTATGATCTGATCCGGGTTTTATCTCTAATAAAACATTCTGACTGTGTTAAAAATAGAATCCTCCAATGGGACAATGTAGACTTATTTCAAGGAAGTGTTGTTTTTTTTCTGTTCTCGTTCAAGGGAGGACATTTTTGGTCTACTTTTCACACACATATCCTACAATACAATACAACCTTCTTCTTGGATAGCCCTGAATCACACTGCATCCTCTCAGAGACCTTAACCAAAACCATTGTGAAATCACCACACAGGTCAGGATGTGGACCAACAGTTTTAAAACACAAAAAGAAAATAAAACACGCCCCGGCCCGTGGGTAGAGCTCGTTGTGAATGTTGTAGGGAATTGTGAAAGTGGTCCTGGACATCACATCTCTGTGTTGGACATTAAAACCTGCCCAACAGACCTACATTTTTAAAAAACAGAAGTCCATTTTGAGCATTTTTTGTTTTATTTTTCATCATTTTGCCAGGGTTAAATGGAGCCCTGTCTTGGGCGCGATGGAGAGAAAACCGGAGGAAGATACTCGCAAACTCCACGGAGAAGGCCACAAAACGTTTTTCTCTGAGGCGAGTCTTCGCTCAGCATTAGGCATGAGATGGCTCTGCTGGGACTCTGAGGAGCACAGGGACTGGCCCCCCAGCTGGGACTCTGAGGAGCAACCCCCCAGGGACTGGCCTCCTGGGGCTGGGGACTCTGATGGAAGAGCACAGGTGATGGCCTCCTGCTGGGACTCTGAGGAGCAGGGACTGGCCTCCTTTGCTGGGACTCTGAGGAGCACAAGGGCCTGTCCTCCTGCTGGGACTCTGAGGAGCAACAGGGCCTGTCCTCCTGCTGGGGACTCTGAGGAGCAAGGACTGGCTCCTGTTGGGACTCTGGGCGCACAAGGATTCTGGCCTCCTGCTGGGGACTATGAGGAGCACAGAGATGGCCTCCTGCTGGGACTTGAGGAGACAAGAAGACTGGCCTCCCTGCTGGGCCTTTGAGGAGCACAGGGACTGGCCCTTTCCTTCTTTTCCCCTCAGACAAGCTGAGGAATAACTTTAATGCAGGTTCTAGCATTTCTCCATCATCAATGTTCACTCACTCAACCATTGAAATAGCCAGGAAAAAAACTCAGCTCAGAGAAAGGTTCCCTCCAGGTGTCGATTGACCACAAGGCCTCAGACCTCGATCCGGTCCAAGATCCAGACACGGAGAAATACACAAACTTTTCATCCCTAGTTTAAACAAAAGAAACATCTTCTAACAAGTAACAACAAAACAAACAACACATCATATAACTACTTCGGACAAAAACTTTACATTTATTTACGGCGCAGCTGATGGAGCTAAAGACAATGACGGGGCATGAATGGTCCATGAACGATTTGGTGGCAGCTTGTTGTACTTGACGAGAGAAACACAACGGAGGGAGGAGGCGGCGGGAGGAGGGGAGGAGGGAGGAGGACGAGAGGCGGGAGGAGACTGAGAGGGGGAGGAAAGGGGGTGGAGGAGGGGAGGAGGAGCGGAGGGGAGGGGGAAAGAGGAGGAGGAGAGAGAAGGGAGGAGAGAGGAGGGAGGAAGGAAAAAGAGAGGAGGGAGGACGGGCAGGATGGAGAGGATGAGAGGGGGAGGAGAGAGGAGGGAAGGGAAGGCAGAGGGACATGGGGAGAGAGTGGAGAGTGAAGGGAGGTACGGTGAGGAGGTGTTGGGTGGGTGGTGAGCAGGATTGAGGGGGGAGGTGTGATCGGAGGTATGAGGAGACCCGTGGACGGGAGGGTGAGGTGGGATGGATTGTGGATCGCGGGAGCGAGGGGACGTACCAAGCTACGGGGTGGGGGGGTGGTGTAGAGTGGCGAGGGCAGAACGACGAGCGGCGAACGCCGACGATAGAGAGAAGAGAGCGCCCATAAGCGATTCCTCGCGCCGCCCTCAAGCGTGCCGCGCGCCGCCATGCAATCGCCGCTGCGCGCTGCTCTGCTCCTGCCCGCCGTCTCTCCTCCATACCTCCTCTCCTCCTCCTACCTCCGCCCTCCTCTCTTTTCTCCTCCCTCCTCTCTCCTCCCTTCTCTCTCCTCCCTCCTCTTCTCCTCCCTCCTCTCTCCTCCCCTCCTCTTTCATCCCTCCTCTCTCATCCCTCCTCTCTCCTCCCTCCTCATCCTCCTCCTCCTCCGCCCTCCGTGTGTTTCTCTCGTAATAAATGCCACCATCGTCATGGACTTCATTCCGTCATTGTCTTTAGCTCTGCAGCGCGCCGTAAATAAATTGTAAAGTTTGTCCGAAGAGAGCAAATTAAAGTGTTTGTGTTAATCTCGTGTCTGGATCTGTGAACGTTACAGGTTATGAGGCTGTGGTCAGCGACACCTGGGGGAACCTTCTCTGAGCTATTTCTGCGGATTCCAAATGTAGATGATGTGAACATTGATGATGAGAGAAATGCTAGAACCTGCCATTAAACCGTTATTTTGCTTGTCTGAGGGGAAAAGAAGGGAAAGGCCAGTCCCTGTTGCTCCTCAAAGTCCCAGCAGGTGGCCAGTCTCTGTGCTCCTCAGAAGTCCCAGCAGTGGCCAGTCTCTGTGCCTCCTCCAGAGTCCCAGCAGGAGGCCAGTCCCTGTGCTCCTCAGAGGTCCCAGCAGGAGGCCAGTCCTTGTGCTCCTCAGAGTCCCAGCGGCGGACAGGCCCTGTGCTCCTCAGAGTCCCAGCAGGAGGACAGGCCCTGTGCTACTCAGAGTCCAGCAGGAGGGCCCGTCCCTGCTCCCTCTGAGTCCCTGCAGGAGGCCAGTCCCTGTGCTCCTCAGAGTCCCAGCAGGTGCCCGTCCCTGTGCTCCTCGTGTCCCAGCGGGGGCCAGTCCCTGTGCTCCTCAGTGGCCCAGCAGGAGGCCAGTCAATGCTACTGAGGCTGAGCGACTCGCCTCAGAGAAAGACGTTTGTGGCTCTTTCTCAGTGGAGTTTGGGCGAGTATCTCCGGTTTCCCATCGCCCAGACAGGCTCCCTGTACCCTGAACAAGTGATGAAAATAATCAAAATGCTCAAACTGATTTTAGTTTTAACGGTCAGGTTGTAGTTGCCTATCCCCCTGTGGCCCAAAACGCTTCCGACATCCAGCACTCCTCAGTCGAAATGGCCCATCTTTCTCATTATCCACTTTACAGCGATTCTCATCTCTTCCATTCGACTCAAACATCTAGAACATCCTAAACCACCCCATGATAAGTTGTTTATTGGGGGTGCTGGCAAATCGCAGATCACCGAACTTCAGACCCAATCCCCAATGCGCGGATAGTCAGAACTAGCACACGATAACGACTAAAATTGATTATAGCCTATAAAACAAGCGAGATGTTTTGTCGGCGGGTGTCTTAAGCCGGAACAAATAACTATATTTAAAGAGCTGGGAAAAGAATATGTTGTGTGTCTCTTCAATTTGAATATTAATCTTTTATTTTAATATTTTAAAATTTTGTATAATTGTGTTATCGCTGCCAACCATTCTTTCCCCATATCCCCTCTTACAATTTTCAAGTTTATGTCTTATGTACATGCATGCATCATACTTTTTTGAGTAAACATATTGGGAAATTATCATATAAGCATACCTCAACTCCGCTGGTAGATTATACAATATAACAGCACCATACTCAACCCCGTTCTTCGGATGATTGTCCCTTAGTCGTTAGCTATGCATCACAGCGGCGTGCCCACTGAGGGTCCGTATACATTGTCATCATGCCATCCTTCCCTTCCACAGCGCTTTAGCACTCGGTTACAGAAGCGTCTATCAACAATACAAAAGCATCCACATACTCTGAGTGCTCAAATACAGCCACCGATACAAGCGTTTCATCAGGCCGAGTCTCACTAAAACATCCAACACCCATACCCACATTGATTGGTCTACTCCTGAATGATGCCTTCTTCTTGTGATACGCGCTTTCAGTCCTAAGCCCTTTTAAGTGTCCATTTGGCGATATTAGGGATAAACACAGCACGTACCAATCAATGAACGAGCCTCACCTTACTTTGGCTAAAATCATTCAACAAAATCTTCTGGAAGTCATTAAAGGATGTCTATAATTGTTCATAAATTGCCTCTAATCCATCAGATTTATAAGGGCTTACTCTGCTTTTAATTAAGAGGGTGCCCGATCACTGCTTTGTGGGTGGAATATAGTAGAGATTACGTAGTGTTCAAAGACTGATCTAATTCATCAACCAATTTTTTTCCTTGGAATTCCCACTAAATACCTATTGCATAATCAATAGAAACGGGACTCCCCTATACCCTGTCGAGCCAGTGCCCTTCTTAGATCTGGTTTTTACACTAATGTTTTTGTTGTTCAAATCTCTGCTTCTCTTGATCCACTGAGATAATTCAATTGGTATCAGTTAATGAGCATCATACACACACATGCCTCCCACAGAGGTGGAGATATCCACTTAAAGACTTCCACCATCATTACCACCCTCTGCGCGCGGGCTACTTCAACTTGTTCCATTGAATGTTCTGTGAAATCCTCATACTCGAATGCATAAGGATATCGATATACAGTCCTACTTCCCTTTCTCCATATAAGGTACCTTCCCGAAGACGCATGTATTCAACCTTTTAATTGTAATTAAAATTTGTGGTCCCAATTTGTGCATGACCGATGATATTTAGCATATGTTGAACATTTAGATTTCGCTCTCATAATCTCTACTAAACTGTAATGCATATCCCTATCCTCGACAGCTACTGCATGTAAACATAGGCCTTGTCCCATACTACTATCTTTTACTATGTGTGTAGCTTTTGCAAGCTTGCTCTATCTTATTAGCCTATTATTTTTGTACGCTTTTTTCCTGTCTCCATTTCTGAAAACACATCTGCGGAAAGAGAGTTCATTATATACATTACAAATGTAGTGTTACCTACAGTCCTTCATTAAGGCCCCCTTCGCTTTGAACACTGTCATCTTCTCATATAGAATTAATGCCCAAAGGTCTTCCCCTGCACATAGGCCCATACCAAAATCCCCTACAAAACCATAGAGGTTTCGTTCCGCTTATCTGTCTCTTTCAATACTCAACCTCTCAAGTCCCTGTATATTAAGACATGGTACACTTCCCTGCATAATCCCCTTTGTCATGGATGATTTTAGAAGGGTGTCAGCAAACCCTCTTATTTTGGGTTCCAAGCAATCCAATATTGCCTCCATTTCCCCCTGGAGTTTCGTCATCATGTGCTTACCAGTCATATCGAAATGTGCTCGTTCCACTTTTTTCCCTTGTACTAATCTATAAAATACCTGGCATGCCATATGTTCTTTCTCCCTTTCCAAACACAATGCACCCCAATTTTTTGCCGCTTTTTTCATCATGCTCCCATTATCCTTTTCCCTGTTTTTTGGGGTCTATTTTTTATATCCCTGGCCCCTTTGTAGTTATTGTGCGTTCTCTCATTTTTTTCCTAACATTCGGAATAATCAAAATTGAGAATTGACACCACTTTTCTCCTTACCAAACAGTTGTTGTGTGCATACCCTGGCCTAACCTGCTTTCCCAGCCACATATAAAATCCACTAATCCCTACTACCACCAGACTCTCCACCCACTCTATCTTCCTCAACCCTAAGAAGTGTCCCATGGTCCTTGCTGTTGAAGACCCTCATGGAACACCTCTGTCTTAAAGCGTATCCAGCTTACCAATGGAGTTTTTCACTTTGATGGCGCTTTGCGCAGCTAAAGAGTATGTATTCTGCTGATTATTTTTTTTTTGTTTGTGTTTTTTTTTTTATATATTCATCAATAATTATTATATATATAGATTAATCTTGCATAATTTTACAAAACAAGCTTCCCACTTGGATAACTATCCTGATAATTAAACATCCCCTTATATTGCCTATTTATCACCCCCACCTTTATCACGTATGTCGGATCCAAACCACTCATTAAATGCTAGTCCCCCTGATCACCCATTCCATAAATCAGAAAATTGCCAAAGTCTTCAAAACCTGAAGGCCATCGACCATAATTGCAAACCCCTAATCCCAAAATCAATAAATCAATATCCCTATATTCAACAATCCTGACCTCATCCCCCTGACCTTCAACAACCCAATATCCAATGTCCAGGACCCAAAACCCGTCCCTCCCCACCATCTCTAATGTCAAAATCCTATCCAGACTCCTGAAACATCAGGGGCCAAACCTCAAAACCTCCCGATTCCAAAGTCTGCATCCAACCCCAATCCCAAATCCTCAACTCCAACAGTTTCCCAAAGTCTCTCAGACTATATCATCACTATCCCTATCATCAGACAACTTGCATCACAGGCTTATCTGAAACCTTATACTCCTACTCTTGTCCAACGGTTTACCACCTTCCACATCGTACCAGCTTCCAATTGACAAGAGGCCATCTCTCAGTGCGCCCATCTTCTCCCTGTATCTACAACCTGGCCGATCAACAAACACCGCCTCTCATAATGGTCCTGAATCCCTCATAGCGTATGTGATTCTTCCTTCCTGTCTTAGCAGACCACTGACCTGTATAGAGAAGAATCCTATATAACCACAGATTCGCCTTTGTTTATCAATTTCTATTATATGTTAATATATATATATATATATATATATAATTTGTTTGTTTTTATTTTTTTTACATTTACATACATATATATTGGCAATTAAACATTTTTTTGTATAATTCCTATGTTAAAAACATAAGTATAGTCATTTTAGGTCTTCCCCCTCACTATACTCCCCATGTTCTAAACTAATAGAGTCAAACAACTTTCCCTAGCTCGTCCCCCTTCGCCTCCTTTTTCTATGAATATGATATCTCTCATTATTACATCAGCAGATCTTCGGTCACTATCCTTGTGGATGAATATGTCACAAATAGGACCCTGTAGTTGTGATCGCTATAAATTTTCAAATATACTCGTTAGTTTGAGAGATTTAATGGGCCTTTTCCAAGTTAGCTGATCCCAACAATGGTCTTTTTCACAGTAAGGTACCTCCAACGGAAGTTTGTCTTTTACAGCCTCAACCTCTGGAGATGTCTGTCACGACATTGTTACTGCAGAAACTTCACTGTAAGTGACCAATTTTTCATATAATTTCCCTACATCAACATGCTCTGAGGGACTCCATAACAGACCAAGGTACTGGCATGTGCCCCATACTTTTTGAAAATGTACATATAAATTG